TCATTCATTTTCTGCAAAATGAAAGAGTGCATCTCAATGAAACGCAAAATTTTGGAACATTGAAATCGAATATGTAAATATCAGAAGCGTAACAGAATCATTTCTAAATTCTGAAATTACGTAAAACGTTGTATTGCACGTATGAAAAAGGCAATGTAAAAAGAACAAATAACTTGATTCAATCGTTTCAAAATATCATTAAGCCATATGCATTTTGATGAAAGCATTATTTATTTCGGCATTTCGCTGTTGATGTTTTTGAATATCACTGAATATTTAAACAAATGTGACAATTTGTTGCGAAGTAAATTTATCTCTGAGAGGGAAATGTGACTAATTATAAGTCAATTTTTATTGAATATGGAATAGGAAATATTCCGGTTCATTGATTTAGTGGTTGTTGTTACAGAAATATGGGCTTTCATTGTCGTTTAGCTTTACGATAGATAGTTAAAATTTCATTACCGATATTATGCTATGAATATATCATTTTCAAAAAGGATTAAAGTAGAAAAATACTTCAAAAATCAATAAAAATTAAATTATTGAGAATTTAGAAATTTAATTTGAAATAATATCCTCGCTGATGCAAATCTAACAAGAACAAATCAAAGTACATTGAGAAATTTCCAAAGAAGGAAAGAAATTCATTTCAGTCTAATTTATTCTGAAATTGTTGCTGTTATATCATTTTTCATAAATAATATTTAAATTATACGTGTCTGTGACAAGTAAATTAAATTTTGTTTTGATTCGATTTGACCATAAGAAATTCTTTTGGCAGTCGTTGAAAAAAAGGCTTAACAATTGAAGCAAAATAATAACACGTTTTTTCCACCTGTTGAAGTTACTTCTAGTAACTTTTCATTTTAATAGAGAATGAATGCGTTGTTGAAGAGTTATAGCAAAGAAAATTTCAGAAGAATTTGAAAACTAATTGGGTTCTTTTTAGAAGAAATTAACGCTGCATTTGAATATTACCGATACACCTGGCGGATAGGTATGGAAATATGACATTCTAGAAGACATAAATCGATAATTAAATTGAAACAAAATGCTTAATGCAAAGTACTTTGAAGAAACTTAAAAGGGAATAATTGTGAAAGACAATAGGAAACTTACAAAGCCAATTCAAATTGGTATGATTCCAAATTTAGCAACTTAAAAAAGCAATTTTGTTGATTTCAGCACTGTTAGAATGGATTATGAGAATATAATATTTTAGGAGACAAAGCGATAATTAAACTGAAACAATGTGTATAACATTCAATGATTATAAATAGAAACATTTTCAATCGGATGGAATACACGTTTAGGATCTTTGTTGATTAGAAATTAAGAAATTACACAACAAAGATTGAGCTTGCAAATTAAGCCAATACGGCATTGGTGATCGATCATTTAATGTCTGTTTGCCTTCATTATGTGGCTATCACGTAGTGTGCTAAATTTTCAAAGCAATTTGATTTTTACCTTGAAAACTCAAAATGATTTTGCACGTACTGGAATACATTATAGCTGCTCTACTCCTACTACTTCAACGATTATAAATTTGGTGACTTAGTACAATGAATACTTCTCAGACGGATTTCTTTATAGACGCCATGGATCTAAAAATAGATTCAATCTGAAAAGAGCAGAATCAGAAGATTTTTTGATCTTAGCTTGAACCAGTATGAATTTGACTGTATGTACGAATTAATATCGATATTAAATAAGCTTGGAGATATTAACCTGCAACGATATTGGAAATATTTTTACAAACTGAAAATGACAATGAATTACAAATATATAACTAAGTTCGTAACACCTTCAATAAATTATTTCAACTTTGATAATGTGAGGTTGACGATTGTATACTTCAATTTTCGTTGTTCCTTGTTTTTTCAAACTTTATTTGCTTCTGATTTATTAAGAGCTTTGGATCGGATGCCAAGTTTACTTTATAGGTATTCTTGTTGGCTATTTGTTTCAAAATAAAAACTCTTCAACAAGATTTCTCTTTTTTCTTTCATTACGAAATCTAAACACAATTCACGAAATTTTTAGGTAAATTGGAAGTAGTAAATAATATGAAAAGTATGAAATAACAAATTTCCAATCAGTCGATTAGTTCATTAATTTCTATCCTAAATATTCTAATATTCCTTCTTATTTGCTTTTTTTGTATTTCTTTCGATTGCCTTTTAGAAAACTTTATGAAACTTTCATATTATTATTTTCAGATGCCATACCGCACCGAATTGCGATCTTATCAAGAAAAAAGGAAGAAAAATGCGCTTGAATGGTCGACGATCATAATCTTATGGAAGATTAGGATTAAGTTGTAAATAAGTGAAGGAAGGAAATACTTAAGTGCTTTTAGTCGAATAAAACTGCGTGGCAAGATGTATAGTTCTTAATTTATTGTTAACACTGTAGATTACCAAATATAGAATAGTAATCAAACAACTCCCTTTTTACCATCGGCTTCATTTACTGCATATTCAAATAATTTCTTGTTAATCATTAGTTTTACTTTTACTACAAACGAATACTGCCAATGATTTATACTTAATGGCCTGTTGTTTACCATCAGTTTGATTGTGTTGGATGACCTGTGACCTCTTTGTGCCATTAATTTCATGCACAAAATGACCAATTAACTACCAAAAGCAGTGTTTACCGAGCGCTTCTCAGCTCGAGAGGAATGTATTTCAGTTCATCTACTACTCCAAAACAAAGCTGTAAAATGACGGAAGAAGAATTAAAAGTTCCTTATTAAGTAATAACGCTTCCAAATCATGTTTTATAATCAAAGTAGAAATCAGAGTAAGAATTGGAAGAAAGGAAAATATAATAAATGAGATCAGTATGATGGACTATTTTACGAGCAACTACAGGTAATTAAATTAAATGATAAAGAATCATCATCTATAAGAAATCATGACCAATTAGATGGTTCAGAAAGCTATAGGAAAAGGGTCTGGAAATGTTGCTGGAAAAGTGTCTAGAAAGCTATTAGAAAAGGGTCTAGAAAGATATTGTCCCAATATGGTTATCAAAGCTGATTATACATATTTATTTAGCTAGATAAGATTCAATTCAATTTGTAGTCAGAATTTTCTTTATTCCATGTGAAAGTTGGATCTATGTTATCAGGGAGTGAATTCATAAACAAACGCTATTGTTTTAATGCAGTATTGGTCAAAAACAAATCAACAACGAAATATTTTCCTATAAAACTTCAAATTTATGAACCACGGAGGGGAAGACCGTCATGGTTTAAAGAAAAAGAAACCAATCAGCTTCAATTGCAATTTAAATTCACGAGAGGAAAATAAAAGAAAATCAAAATTCAATTAACAACGTTAAAGGAATCAATGCAAAAGATTAAAGAACAGGAAAACTCAAAATTTCAGTCAACGATATCCGAAGATTCCTTAAATAAAACCAATTGATTAGAAGAATAATAGCTCGACAAATTGAAAGCACTACAAAACAGCAAATCCCAAAGAAACAAAAAGTAAGCTAAATTCGTTAAAAAGCTTATTACTAATAATAATTACCATAACATCAGTTCAAGTAACAGCGGCGAAAGATCGCAAATGAATTTGCTATTCCCTTTAACTAAGGTGTTGTCTACAAAATACTCAAAAATTGAATTATTTAATTGCATGTCTCAAAGGAGACGCCTTATTATCTATCAGAGCTGTGAGGAAGTAGTTATGTGGCCGGACATTGTTTTATCCATCTTGCTTTAAGACTTTTAGTCAAAGAGCAATTTATGTTATTTTCATGGATTTGCTGCATGACAAAAAGAGGACAGGAAATATCCATCAAACAAAACACTTCTCGCTATAAATCCTAAAATTTTCCCCCGAAGATCCTAATCCTTTCAGTCGGGAATGTCGAAAAACCCGAAATAATTCTATAATGTAAAAATATCGACACAATTGAAGTATCTTTCTTTTCTTTAAATTTATGTCACAGAAATCGTTTGCCTCAAATATCACGTCAAAAATGATTTAGAATGCCATTTGATTGTTTTTGTTTACTCGTGATCAGAACAATATCTTGGAACCGCTCGCTGAGGTAACAATTCAGAGAATTGTAGCATAGATTTCAATAAAGATACTTTGATTATGCCAATATTTTTATATTATAGAATCAACTTTCACACGTTTAATTTCAATTATATTGAATGGTCACTGATGGAACGCTTTTTTGTGAGCTCATTGTAAATTTCAATTTGATTGTAAAATTCAATTTGTAACGGAAATATAGCACATATTGTTAAAAATTGGTAGGAGTGAGAAAAGACCGAAAAATTTGCAAAATAACACAAACCGGCGATAACAGTTCTTTTAAGTTTTGCGGAGATAATAATACATAAAATCGATTATAAGCTTTAAGAACATTTTTTTGAGCCATTTAATTGATAATTTAGCAGATATTAATATAATTTCGTATTAATTTGAATTTACTATTTTGAAATTTTGTTTAGCTATAACAAGAAGCAAATCTAATGTAAACTTATTGATAATTATTCATTTCTTCTGCCAATCCAAAATAGCTTTTATATTTTCTGTCACTTATTAGTATTTAATAAAATGTGAAAAAATTGATGATTGGTTCAATTTAAATGAACTAACAATATTAAATAAACCGTTTGATTTGCTTTAGTTGCTTAATGCAAAAACGACTAAAATTAAAATTAAAAGTTTTCTCACTTAAAATTTGCTATCAAAATAACTTTTGCTATAAATATAAACAAATAAATTGTTGTCATCATTATTTATACTTTACATAAATTGGTCAAACGATCCGGTTGTTTTCCAAATGTCAGAGAAAAAAAGGTTAATAATCTGAATTGATTTTAGAATTTTAGTATAACATTTTGCTAATGTAAGATCGCATTTAAAAACGGTAAGATTTTCGGACCATTACTTTTAATGAAAACTGATTCAAATCAATTAATTAGCAATAAATTATTCATTTTCTTAACCATTATTTTTTATGAATGTAATGTTAATTAGATGACAATACTTCCATAAACTATTATTTGTTGCGGATTAATTGATTTTTCCTTTTTAGATGAACATTTAATTTTAATTAAAATTTTAGTGAAGCGAAGAAAGATGACCAAAGTAAGGAACAATCAGATGCAGACGCAAATAAAATCCAAACGACAATAGAAATGACTTCACCATTAACGGAACCGGAAGGACGAGGTGCATTCCGGAAGCTGTTTATGAAATTGGGAGAGAAAGTTGGTACTATTAAAATTTCTGAGCTTAGTCAGAATTATTTGGATCAAGTGAAAGATGCGGACTCTTATAAGGTAAACATTTTTTACCGATGAATATAACAACAATCTTTTTACCTGGTGAATATTTTTAAAAAACAACCTCTTTATCTGATGAATACGATTTATTAGTATTGCATTCATTAATCATCATAACTTCATTTCATTTTTAGGATCATCAATTAAGAATGTTTAATTCAGGAAATTCTCCTTGAACTTTTAAGTTTTGAAAATAATTTTGAAACTGTTTTTATTACTTATTTTGATAACGTAATTCAAATTTAAATTAGCATATATCACTTAAGACGATCTTGAATAGTAATCCATTCAAAGACTCATTCTTATCACAATTAATCACTATGATCATTTAGTCTATTAGTGTCACAAATATTAAATATTACTCAATATTACTAAAATTCTACTAGAAAAAATTTTAGGAAATGCTATGCAAACTAGCAGAAAGTATTATATATGTAATGCAACAAAATCCGAAATTAGTACCTAAAGCAGAGTCAAAAATGGAATTTGAATGTCCGTTAAATGAAGATCCAATGGAATTACTGGGTATATCATTGGAAGGAATGAGAGAGAATTTTTCAGCTCATATTTCGGCTCTTCAGGTCCATAATCCAAAAAATCTGAAATTGAAATTATCATTTTTAATGATAGATCAAAAATTTTAAATTCAGTTATACTTATAACATTTACATTTTGTTACATACGTTGCATACGGGATAAAAAAAATTCGATATTTGATTATGAATAGGAAATATTGTTCATGTATTAAATTCTAATTTTAATTTTAGTCCTAACTGTTATTTATTAATTGTTTTCAGTTAGAGTAAGAGTGGGGAGAAAGAAGAATATTTCATTTTGAGATTTCAATTATAATTCCAGGCTTGCATTCATGCATGTACAAAATTGGTTATGCTACGTCGGTCATATCATAAAAGAGGACGTAGAGCTATTCATTCTATTCGAACATTTATTAACGTTGATTATGTGTGTAAGATATGTTTCAATATTACTTGCTAATTATAAATTTGATAATTATTTACTATTTATCACTACTTATCTTATCATATCACTATATGTTAGCTGTTGAAAAAAATGAGCATTAAATGAGAGATGTATAAAGAAATATTTGCCTAATATATGATGAATTATTGACTATTGTTTATTATTAGTTATTAATTAGTTAAATATTAAAGCATCAATTATTTAATATAGTGTTGAAAAAAACAATCAAAATTTTCCCTTATAATATGTTAATAATGACATTAGCAATTGAAAAATAGAATGATCAAAGTTGTTGTGGGTAGTAAAAAATAAAAATTGCTGAGAATAAATCAAATAGTCAAATGTGCAAAAAAATTTTAATTATAAAAAAAGGAAAATTAGGAAAGAATAAATATTAATTATTCATTAACTAATAGTTCAGTGAAAAATTTATGGAGATGAGAATAATCGATAATTACTTTATAAATAATATATTATGGCTATTTGGAATGAATTAATAATTGTTTTCAAAAGAACAATTTTATTAAAATAATGTAAATTAATAGTTTCAATAAATAACTTTAGTACTGAACAATCAACGTCATGAGCTCATTAAATGTCGAGAAGAAATGGATTTTGCAAGACATGAATATGCAAATAATCCAACAGAGCAAAAAAAAGAAAATTGCAATAAAGCAGTTGCAAAATTTAACGAACAATCAGAAGAGGTTAGAGGAAGGGAAATTTATCGAAATTCAGATTTAAATTAAATAAATATATTTTATCATTTAGATGAAATTTTAATTAAGACGAAGTATCAAATAGTATAATTATTATGAATAATATTAAGCAATTTCTATTGATAGATAAAACGAAAGCTTTCTTTGATGTTTATCAAAATTAAAGCTAATAATTTCAGTATCATTTAAAATAACTTCATACAAATTCAAAATATTTTGCAGGTTTTTAAAGCTTTAGGCACAATTCAATCGAAAAAAGAAAAACATCGTTTGGAGCTTATCAAAGTATTGGATGAAATGCGAAAATATCATAAAAGTGCTGCTGAAGAATGTTTGCTTGTATCTAAATCAAAGTGATAAAAATGACAATGTGCTTGAATTAATTGGAAAAATAAGTCAATTAAGAAATAATGTAAAACATATGCTATTATTACTGCTATTAACTATTTGTCATTTAATATGAATAAAATATTTTTGTTCTGTGCTATTTTAAGTATTATTGAAAATGAAGTAATTATCAAATCTTTTATCGATAAAAGATTATTCAATTTTAAATAAACACAATAAGCAGGATGATAAAGATTATTCTTATGATAAATGCTTATAAAACATTTGCACTTTTATTAAATCGGAAGCTGAGCGTTTTGAAAAATAAAATATTCACAAATTTTTATATATTGTGAATTCTCATTGAAATAATAAAAAGCTTAATGATAAATGATAAAATAAGTTCGAATAATAATTATTTCTGCAGCTAATATGTTGATAAACCTTTCTTGTGATTCGTTATATATATTATCATTTTTATAACAAATAAATTACATGTGATTATTGGTGATAGAGCAGTGATTAATAGCTTCAGTATTATAAGAAGTAGCTTGAGTTTAATGAATTTAATTGAAATTTTAAAAAGAAAATTAATAATACCATTGTAACATACATTTACTTCTACTTCACACGTCTTTCATTAATAGAAAAAATCGATTAATTACTCTTATCAAAATTAACAGTAATCTTCTTTGCTTTTTCTTAAATACTTAAATAAATTTTCACTATCATAGCCACAATTGATAATTTGGCTTTGATGAATTAAGAAGTAAAAATATCGGTTATTTTTAAAATGTTGAAAAAAAACATAATTCAAATTTGCATGTATCGTTACGAAATTTATTTAAGTTATTAACGAATTTTCTTAACTGCGATTAGCACATATTTCAGTGAAATGTCGTGGATAATACCTAAAATGATTTTTAGGTAGTTAAAGCAATAATTATTGGTTAGCATGATTATAGTACTGGCTGGCTGAAAATTTCAACTATAATGAAAAATGACTTTTTTCTACTCACTTATTAATTAGGTGAAAGCAATGAATGCAACAAACTTCAATTTCCTTTTTTTCATTTTAATTTAATTGATAAAAATTATTGAATTCTTTTATTTTATGTCTGCTTATTCACCGAATAAATTTCCGGATAAATTTATTAACACATTTCATCATTACCAACTTTTTGATAATGCATTTCATAAATGGAAATTATTTAAATCAAAACAAAACTTTGTCAATTACTGTCGCCGTTAATTAATCAAACTTTATTATCTTCCAATTATATCTTTTCATTCATTATTCAGTAATATTAACTTTTTTAAATAAAGCCTTATGATGTTACAGTTAAATTAATAACATAATACAATAATTAAGCGGTAGTTGATCATTTTTTTCACAATGAATATTTTTGACCACAAAAAGAGTGGTCAAAGTGTTAACAAAATTTAATTTATCAATGAAATTCGGTATGATAGAAATTTTCTTCCATATCTATTTATAACGTTTCTTTTAGGATTGTTATAAAACGAAAAAATTTTGAAATAAATTACCTTTGTGCTAAATTATCTTTTCATTTGATATTCGTTCATAAAGGCATAATTATTTTGGGATTAACTAATATTTGGCAGCAAACTATAAAATAATTGTTCGAATTAAAATATTTGCTGATATAAAAACAAATGAGATTGCATATCCAAAGATAAACCTAAAATTAGTAAATTATTAATCGAATAATAGTAAGCGTATTTGTTAATTTCGCTACGCTTCTTCCTTCATTCCAAACTTTAATGACAAATGTAATCACTTTACTCTTAAACAGTCCTATTATCACTGAATTCCATCCAAGTTCTATATAAATAAATATGATTTTCTCATCACTGATTAATAGAAATTTTCATTGATAATTTTGCTTTTTGTTTTAATTTTCCAAATTATAAACCATTGATTATTTCAAGAAATCACTTTTTTTCTTATTCGTAGTTTATCCTTTTGACAAAATAATATTGATGATAATTAATTATAATATTAAATCGTAATGCTTTCATTCGTCGAGGGTGTGATGACAACTGCCTTATCGAAAAAAGACAACCTATTGATCCAGACACATTACATTTGTTTCTATTAATCAATTATTCTTTTCATCATAACAATTAATAAACGACAAATATGGTCATCTCCCCCAAGATGTGAACACTGATTTTTAAAGATATATAAATATTATATAGTAGAGATATTATGAAACTGTCAACTTACTGAAAACAAAAACTATCAATAAAATTGTTGTAAAACCTCGACGATCGTACTTATCGTATGATATAATTTATACCAGTTCGAGTGCACAAGAATAACAGTGAAATAGTTTTAGCTTAACGGTAATTCACCTAAAATTGGTTCTTTCAACTTGACAGAATTAGATGAAATTTTTTACCAAACTGAATTCATTAGACTGATGAATTTAAGACGAATACTCCTACGTCGCGCCAAATACACACCGACTTGCGCAGTCGTAGTCGCGCATCAAAATTGTTATTTCCATATATGTACATACTTTTTTATTTTTGTAACATTTTATGAGGACAGAAGCAAGCGTAAATTCACGTTCACCCTAATTTATCAACATACTATAGTTTAGATGAAACTATTTGATTGAAGCTTTGAATTTGATTTCCCAAACTAAACTTAATATTTATACACAGTATATCTATTTTTACTATATATATAGTAAAATTTTGCTATCATTTTCAGGTGACAAAATGATTGCATTATTATTGATATAATAATTGTTAATTGAAAATATCAACATAGAAAAGAATGAATGGATGACAAAATGTCATTAAGGCATTTCAATTATATCATCTCTTCGAAACAAAAGAGTATTAAAATCAATGATATGTAGGAAAAAGAAAAATAAGCAAATTTACAAAAAACATGAACGTATAACAACCATGCCCCAAAACGGAAAAAATAAAACAGAATGAACCTGAAATAAACTTTAACTAAAAGAAATGGACAACCGACCAAATGAATGATAATGGTTTGCAGTAGAAAGGTTATTTTTAGACAACTCTCCCATAATTATCATTTACGGTATATGATTCTTGTTAGATAAACAACAATATCTTCAGTTCCATCTCCAGTTCCATTTATTTTCATCATCAGTTACGATGTTCTCGCTACTCAATAATGGTATTTAACTTATCAACACTATAATATTTCCTTCATTTATCTAAGGCTCTTAAAAATGTGCCCAGATATATTTCTGATATTATCTGGCTATTCTACATGAATTAAGAATTCATGTGAAAATCATTAAATTCCAATAGAAGGAAACATTCATCTAAATGTATTAGAAATTTCAAAACAGGAACAAAAACAAACATGAGGCATACTACGAAAATATGCACAGTGAGGAAAGAGGGAATAAGGAAAAAAAGGCTATTTCATGATATTAAAAAGGCACTAATACAGTGAAAATTCAAAGATGAAAAGGATGAAAAAGAAGAGTGATAACAGGAGTAATAAGAAAGTAAACAAGGCATTTTAATGAAGATACAAATCTACTTGGAACAAAATTCATTGCCAACTATTTGATAAAAATGAAGAAAACCAATAAACATATCTAGAAAACTAGAAGAGATAAAATAAACAACGTAAACAAATATGGACAGAATTTGAAAACGTACAACTAATGTAGATTTTAAGCTGTACATATTAAAGAAAGTTCTGCCGAAAAAACTAACATAATATTATGGACATGCATTATTTACCTTATTATTCATGCAATTTCTTTTCCTTCTTTCTGTCATTTTCCTATCTATTATGCCCAATATTCATTAATTATGTTGCATAGGAAAATTATGATAATACATTTTCACTTGGTAAATCACATCAAAAAACAAAAACAACGATGATTTCCATTCTTTTCTGATAATACCGATAAAATAATCTAAAATGGAATGAAACAATACAATTTACTTGTCCACCCCATTTATAGTGTGGCAACAGCTGATTGTGAATCAGATGATGAGCTAAGTAAAAAAAATATATTCCGAGTGACTCGCATACCTATTTGATCTTATTTTTTTTGCATCAGAATAAATGCGAAGTGTTGAATATTTACTACGAGATGCAAAATAAGTATACATATGGTACGTACTTCGATTCCTGATTTAATTTTATGAGAAATCAAAATTCCGATTGGAAAAGCAACTTCACCAATGTATTACTGGTTCATAACTTCAACCGACAAGGTAATAATGATTATTAATTAAGACGATGAAATGGGGTATATTGGCAAAAAAATGAAGTTATAGATCATATAAATAAAAAGAAGATGGGAAGCAAAGAAAATCACCAATCTCTGCTGTGTTTCAGCACTAAGCTTGAATTTATGCAGGCAGAAGTTACTAAGCTGAATTTACGTGAATTCCACTCAGCCGTTGAAATTAAAGTCAAAAGCTAATAAAAGCTCTATAATACATTTCTGCCACCTGTAATTTCCCTTAAAAAGACATATTTTCTCCGTTACAAATCACGATAGACATTATTTCGATCGATTTCAGTCAAATTTAACTAGACAGTAATTTTTGGACAATTCCAACACATCATCATTGCTTAAATCATTAAGTACACCAACTCGACCACCACCCAATAAACCGAATTCAACCATCATTTTTGCCTGAAATAACAAACTTCTTTGATTGAATATCAAAGATTCAATCTACCAGCTGTTTTGAAATAGCACATTGCGTTCGTGCAAGTAATCATGACATGATTAATTGATTCATGCTCTTCTTTGAAACGGCCATTAGAGAAGTCTTGGTATATCTCATATTACATTCGATAAAATATTGAGTTACTTTTTCGGAATCACACGTTTATTAAAAATTTTAAAGCTTGGATGCAATAAAAATTGATAAAAACTAAGACAATCTGACAAATTCATCAGTAAATAAATAATAATGCGCCATGAGTATTATGGGCTATATAGGAAAGAACTTTACCTTTATATCTTCATCATTGATATCGAATGACTGGATATCCGAGAAATCCATAATAAATGTTCCGTTAGCTAGAAGAGGTACTGGTACTTTGCATGAGTTGAATGCGGAAATTATGGTGCCCGTTGGAGCCGGGTAACCACTAACACTCCGCGTTCCAGCAACAACGATTAATTCCTTTGCTGCACATGGTTCTTCACGTATCTGTAAACTTCGAATGAATTAAATTAAATATTTGAAGTAATTCCGAGAGCAATAATTACAACAATTCCGGTGACTGATTGTATATTTGACTGTTAAATAGGCACTGCACTATCTATAACAGCTCAAGAATCCTTCGTATTCAAAGCAATTTATGTAAATTAAAAAAGTCCTGAAAGTCCATCAAATACTCTCCGCCACTGGATTTTGGATCCTATCTCTCACCTGAACACCTTCCTTTCGTGCATTCATTTCAGCAGCTGCCAGATTTAAACCAATATCTCCAGATGCATACATTAAACCAACAACAGCACCAGCATGCAAAGCTTTTTGGAGGCTAACAAGGGCTGAAACCAATCATCTTATTATAATTCTGGAATTAAAACCTATATTTAAATTAAAAAAGTAAGATTACCGAAAACAGACTATACATTTTATCACAACCATCACAACAACACAATTACCATCACTACTACAAAAGGCACAACGATTTTTGAGTTACACTTACCAACTCCGACCAATTTTTTCTCAATGTTCTTTTTTTTGAAGTAAAAACCCTGAAACTTTAGAAACTTCAAATAAATATGTCCTGAAAATCTTTATCAACGGACTCATACGATAATAGTTTGAATAAAGGACAACAAATGTGCAAAACGAACAGTTAGGAAAGCGTATAGTAACCGCTTTTGGTGAATTCCCGATCACGGCTAATGTTTGAGTCAGTGTTGCTACTGCACGGATCCACTGGCTTTTGGCTTCATCCAATGCAGTTGTAGCAGCTGCTGCATTCATCTACAAACCGATACTTAAAAAAGGCAACCAAAAAACGTAAGCAAAATGCAACAAAATGAAGGCGAATTTTTTTCCTATCAATAAATTTCTCAATCAATAAATAAAGTTCATGAAATCATAGCGAGATCTCCTATCTACAAAACCAATTAAAATCTTTTCTTATGAAATCTTGAATTTATTACATTATTAATAAAATGTTATTATATTATTAAATAAAAAAATTATTAATAAAATCATATTATTAATAAAATGAGGAAAATTTCTTGCATTTTGACCCATTAGTCACATTCCGCATAAAACTGAAAAGAAGATTAAATTCTCATTTCTTCATACCCATTATATAACCTATTAGGGGACATTAATCAATACCGATGGAAGATTAAAACTTGCCGCTCCATATGGACCAGTTGAACTATTTAGCGAAACGATATTTTCAGCAATTTCATTCGCAATTCGTTGATGCCCTTGCAAGGGACTAGTACCCATATGTGGTGTGCAAATAACATTTGGGTGTTCAATCAATCCACGAACAAGTGGAGCATCCTGAAATTCTTGAGTGATACAATAATGTCTTACCACATCAACAGAGTGTGCTACAGGCATACGTGAAAGTTAATTTTGTAAAATAATCACTAGTAGAGTACCAACCTCTACATAAACATCAAATGCTGCACCACCGACACGTCCTTTGTTTAAGGCTTGCAGCATATCGACTTCGTTGACGATCCCAGCCTTGGCCATATTAATTATTTTCACACCTTTTCGGCAACGATTCAATGTTGAAGAGCACAATAAATTTTTGGTACGTGGTATCAGCGGCACGTGAATGACAATATAATCGGCTTGCGGCCAAAGTTGATCCAGTGGAAGCCATCTAATACCATGCCGAGCGGCTTCCTACAAATATTCGATCAGATCCAAAGGTATTATCCCAGACGATTTGACTACTTCATTCACAGGTAATAGAATTCCAAAGATCATTACAGCTAATCAGAAATTCCCATTTCAATCTAATTAAACATAATCTTCTAAACATTTGAATTATTTGTGCAACAAAACAGTTCGAAATAAAAATAAAACAGTTCGAAATAAACCGCCACATAGAGTTTTATTTAGAAATATTCCGTTTTTATAACTACCGCTATTTCTAAATGTCTACAAACTTCAGAAATTTTTCAAAAATTTAGCAATATAGATAAAACCAACCTCTTGTGTAACTTGTGGATCATATCCAAACGTCCGCATACCGAAAACCTGCATACGTATTGCTATTTCTAAGCCAATACGTCCTAAGCCAATGATTGCTAATGATTTTCCAAAAATCTGAAACAAAAAGGATAGCTCAGAATGACTACATTTACAAATTTGCGTGGCAATTAATACTAAAACTCATAAAGTTAAAGTTTCACAGAAAACATACTAATCAAAAACATTCTTTTGATAGTCATCCAAATTAAAATTCCCTTGAAATGTAACAGTCAGAAAATTGATAAATGATGAATTCGAAGTTCCAGCTTGAAAGTTTATACTAAATTATCAAACAAATTCCTACAAGTTTTTTTCAAAATTGACAATAGAGTTGAATTTTCAGTCAATAACGAAAATTCCACATTTAAATAAATGATTGAAAAATATATGATGCCTCTTCCGCGTATGGCTCTGTCCTCGTCCACTTGCCCTCTTTCATCAATGTCACTGCTTGTGGAATCTTTCGAGCCAATGAAAGAATTAATGCACATGTATGTTCGGCAATATTTTCAGGTTTCTTGCCTGCAAACAGTAATGTGAATCCCTTCCTTACCAGATACTAAATATAAAAAAAAGTCTATGCAATTCTCATTTAAATATTTTTAATATATCAAGTCATATATCAATATATTATTATCCATATCATGCATATATTAATATTCAAATTCCGAATATATTTAATCTGGCATTTCATATACTGTATTTTTGCCAAATTTTATAGAATTTTTGATATGAAAAATTTTTTGCACTCGGAAATCCAAATTCATTATATAATAATCAAATGAATGCAATGAATGGCATAGAAGTTAACAAACCGTTATCAACAATCTCCCAATTGTTGAGTATATACCGTTCAAAAATTTCATCGAAATGAGTCTCAAGCGAATTCCCATTATTACCCTTTCGTTTTCGGCTAATTGTCGATAAACCGTTAGCTAACACTGTTGGGACCGCGATGCCAGAGAGAGGTACGGATGCCGACGAAGAACTGACGGAGGGTGGTCGAGAATCTGAGCCTTGGAATGAATTAATAATCATAGCTGTACTACTTTCCGGACTGCTACGAGTATCGGGTCCATTGATACCGTTCAGCTGCTCATCTTCGGTACCACCACTACTGGTAGCTGTAGCGGATGTTGCCACCGATAATGATGGCATATTTGTCCGATGGGCTGATGGTAGCATCATTTGTGTTCGCAAAGCTGGTTCTGAGCTAATTAGCGATGCAAGCAAATGGGTAGCTTTTGCGGTGGCATCACTATCGTCATCTTCAATTTTGATATTTCTCAGGAAATCATTGCTGTCACCTGATGAATCCAGTTCACACTTTACTCCACCGGTAACCAAACTTAACAACTGCGAAGCAGAAGATGTCGAAAAGTCGGTGTTAAGATCAAAACCGCCAGCAATACCGGAAATGTCGAAAATATTTCCTGTGGAACCGTTTAGCAACGCATTACTCATTTCCTGATACGCTTGCAACTGTGCCATTACCGAATCCTTCTTAGAATTGCCGTTACCGACACCACCAATATTGCCGTTATTATTCTTTCGCGTTGCCTTTTGTCTTGGACGTCCTTTAACGATTGCTTTCGCAAAACCGTTTGCTTCCCGCTGCCGAGATTCCTCAATCGTCGGTGGGACACAGAAATGATCGTTTGCTTCCGGAAAATCAGGATCATTCACGATGAAACCATTTTTCACAGCAATGCACGGAATTTGCGGTGGTTTCCCGTCTGGTCCCGGTGGTACCTTATTCTTCATGCTACGACATGACATACATCGATAGTAGCATGAACTAACACCCGACTGGTTGGTGAATCGAGTTTTAAAAGCAAATTCACGTCGATGCCCAGGATGTGAACGGCTTTCATATACCAACACATGCCCACCAAATACTGTTGGGATAAATGTTGCCGGATGCGTAGTGAACTTCGGAAGTTCAGAAGCTGAGAAAACCATCGAAGCAGGCCTTTGGTCCGCCGTGGTTGCTATCCCCTGAAATATAACTGCTTAACAATTCACTAGTTTTAAACCAAATCGAAATCGAATCGAAAAAATACAGCTTCTTTTTAAGACTAAAGAATTGCGCAAAATCGCTAAGCAAATTACATCAACACAAAAAAGGCAATAATCCTAAATAAAAATAAAACAGATTCATTTCAGGTTTAGAATTCCAAAACTGTCACAAATAATCTTGAACATTCAGATCATTTCGTATTCAAAATTGAAAGAAAAATATGAAGACAATAAATAAAGAGATGAATAAAAAAATGCACAAATTAGGAAAAAATAAATTAAAAACTGCCTGCAGGAGAATAAAAATCTTTGCTAACTAAAAATCCAGTTGCAAATAAGTAAGGCCGGTCTATTTTACATTTTTTACTGAAAAAAATCGTTGTCAAAACTTTTATTGAGATGGGAAATAGATGAAGAGTTTTTCCAAATGTTTCTAGATAAGTCAGAAAAATATGTTGTGAAACATAGAGCTTTTTCCACAGAAAGATAAACAAGTGAACGTATAAAGGAACAATTGAGCGAAACCTGCTTCCATAATTTTTAAGTGAAGTTTGAAATAAATTCGCTGTTGGAAATAATGGTACGGTGACAATAACCTACTTGGCGACAAAACAATGATAGGCATAAGTACGGTAAGAGTGACACGGGTCGGCTAGCCTAACGATAATTAATTGGCTGAGTGAAAAGAGCAATAAGGATATGGCAAACCACATACATGAGACATATACACGTACATAAACACACACACTTGTCCTTAATTGTTGCTCAAAATTACCAGAAAGGAATGATGGCGACAACACAAAAGGTAAAGGATATGAAAGTAGGGATGGTAAGAGGACAAAGGAGAGAGAGAGAGAAAAGAAGAGAAGAAGAGAAAGAAGTATCACGGAGGGATAGCAGATGTAAAAGGAAAAAGGAATGTTCAGATAGGCTTAAGAGGTATATACTACTTCACGTACTTCCTAAACCGATTATCATTCATTTTACACCCCAAAAACAGCACAACGAGAAATCTTTGAATTGCATAGCAAGTTACTATTTCAGAAAATATATTTTGTTCGGATTGCATATTAAGTTATTATTTCAGAACATATATTTTGTTGATGATAGAATTTGTTGGTCGAACGAGATGTTATATTAGGGTATATATGGGCTGATGACGATGACGATGGCTGTGTTTGGCAAGAATTGGGCAGGAAAGGGGAAGAGGGCGGGAGAGGAAGGGGCAGTGGGATAGCAAAAGGGAGTCCCGGGATGTTATACCCGAAAATACCGGTTGCCATTTAAAGATGAAAAAGTTCGATGGGAATGGTGTTTGAGCTGGCAATGGACAAAATTCTATGCCCCAAAACATAAGCACATGCCTTATGGCAAAAAGAAAGGGAGAGAATTTACTGAAGCGCCGATTGAAACTTTCCAAAAAGTCACCTAAAAATATTTCTGTTCGAATCTCAAGTATCCATTCAACAAAAAAAATTTCTAGACAAAATTTTTTTTTCAATTCCTCTTTCCAAGATTATGCATTATCTTCAATTAAAATATCAATGCTTTACTAGGACTTTTTTTCGATACTATCCACTATGAGCAATATTGTGATATTCTTGAACAGCACTCTCGAATGCCTTATTATGTACAATATATATATATATATATATATATAAGAGAAATTATTTTAAAGATGCTTTTCGAAGAGGATTAAGCTCGCACAATTATGGCCCAAAAAAGATCAATGATACCAAGCATTTGACATTTTTTTCTCTTTCCCTTCAAGTATACTATCATGAACATATCATTATAAACTTTCCGTTCCATCGATCTTTTATGGCTGAATGTGCACCCAAATAAAATAACTGTCAATACCCTCCCATCTTCAAACTTTAAAATGGGGACACAATCGGCAATGCTGGTATTGCCATGCCTTCGTTGGTCCCATTTTAAGTCGCCAAAACCAGATTTTCACGAAATCTTGTCTTCTTATTGTCATTCCCTCTTCTTCTACCCCTCCTCTTTTCCTTACCCAACTCTTCAAAGCTTTGGTTAGCAACTTTTATACCTACTTGTGCACAATCGTCACCATTATCATCCATCCCTCACCTATATCATAATTTTAAATTCTCATATTACCATTCATTTTCGTAAATATCCCATCTCATCATTATCACTATCACCTTTATTATCATTTACCCGTTTTCAGCAAACAAAAGGCAAGAATCATCACGGGAATATTTTACTTCAATGGTAAAAGAGATAAGGCACGAAGACAAGATCCCCGAGGGCATTCATTATATATACATGCAAAACTAATGATAGCAAAGATCATCTATGTAGAAGAAAGCATTTTATCACTGACAATTTACCGGTATTAACATACCATTGACGCATTTTACACTTCATATAATTTAGATACTCAAATTTATGAAAAAAAAATAAGAAGCTAAAAAAAGTTCGACACAAACCCAGAAGATTAATTTGCATATTTATTGTTGTTATTATTGCCATTTTAAGGTTTGATGCAAAAAAGGAGTAAAGGAGAAAGATGAAGTAAACAAATCTCTTATACAATGATGAAATAATTCCCCACTTATACTTCAGATCATTCCTTTACTGTATTCAATTATACTTCAGCAGAAGCATCACATTTAATTCAACTGATTACATAATAATCTTGTAGATTGCCAACGTGAGTCTAATAAAAACAAAAAAGCATTTGTTAGACTTATCGAATAACTCATGAAATGTCTATCACTATTTATTGGTAGAATTATTGAACTATTCCCACTGAAAATTACTCATTTTATTTCATGTTTTATTTTTCTTTTTAAAAACTTCAAAATATACAAAAAACTTGCCGAGGTTTTTAAGTCATCCTAAATTTGGAATTAATTGACAAACGTGAAAGACCTTATTGTCATAATATAGCCACACGATGCTTTAATCTGAAAAAAATGTAAAGCATGCCGAGGAAAAATTAGATAGATTTTGCTCCTCCGATTCCTGGAACAAAATCCATACATCTCATCCCACTCATTTCCACTTCAGCTCAAGGGTTGCTGAAGATCTTACAGCTTTATCACGGAGAAGAGGAATTCTCCATTGCTACTTGTTGTAGGATTTTTTCTAAAGTCAAATTTCATTCCCCATTTCTCGATCTGGAATATTTTGATGATCAAGCAATAGCAGCATTGACCATCGGTTCCATCACAGTATAAGTTGCAGTAGTACTAATACCATCACCGCCATTATCATTATCATCAGTAGTAGTAATAGTAATAGTAGTAGCAGCAGTAGCAATAGCAATAGCAATAGCAGCATCACCCGCACCAAACCAGTCATAATTTTCGTAATGGGGACAGCAGCAACTAACGCTGATCGTAAGGAAAACGAGTCGAGTCGAGCTGAGTCGAGTGGGATGCCGACCGGCACAATGGGAGTTTTGGTACGGAAATCAGAGCAAAAGGAGACCAAACAGGGTTGGGGATACAAACGACTACTCACAAAAGAACGGGAGAAGAGGTATGGTATGGATGGATGGATGAATGGATAGAAGAAAGATGCCTATGCCTATGCCTTTTGCCTTTGCCTTGCACTAGAATGAATGATTGCTGAATGGTATTATTGAATGTTGAAAATGAGAGGTGTGTAAAGAACGGGACATAGGCCCTTTAAAGGCCAACTGAATACTGTATACATCAGTACTAACATCACCCAGTGCAATTGACCATTACATCATTATCATCAGCATCCCATTCCTACTGCACAACAAAAAAGTTCAAAAGGTCATTCATCCCATTTTTGAAAAAAGAATAGAAACAATAGAAGCTAAGGAATATCGATCAGAGAGACAAAGAACATTCTGGAGGAACGCAAAAATGATATGCGAAAATGCAGTTCAAGTAACATTAAATGTTAAAAATCTGCAGGAAAGGAACACACAATTGGATAACCATATTTATTGGCAACTAATCTGGGCTATATTTCATCATATGAAGCACATTCCGACTCGGACTATTGTTTCTGATGAGCAAAAAATCAGTCGAAACAGAAATATGCGTATATGGAAGAAGGAATGCAATGAGTCAACTAATCGAAGGTCAAACTACTCTAAATTCAATTGAAAAGCGATAGTTTCCTCTTTCCCAATGCATTCATATGACAGTGATCATAATGATCTGAGAGACGTGTGAATCGTACTTGCAAACCTTGCTTACATCTATTGCTGTACAACAATGCAGGATTTGTATTTGCTTAATTATGCAGCAACCTATTTACTTTCATAATACATTATCATGCACACATACAGATACAGAATGTCGTTGTGGAAACTTACAAACTTTTTTGTAACTGCAAGAACGCCTATCCCCCATCCGTACATAATCTACCCATTCCTCTCATGTTTACTGTCGTGTCATCTCTAACTTGATGAGATGGCAATATTGATGGGACCATTTTACGAATGCCGACATCATATACACATACGTGTATATACGTACATGTATATATAGATGTTACCATATATCCACTCACTTATGAGCATATATACAGATCACAGACATTCTTAAATATCCGCAACACATAACATTACTAAAGCGCGTAAGTAAACCTGTAAACGATGCACAACAACATACGTGCATTTACATGTGCATTCAAGCATATGGGATACGCATACGTGCATTTTCAATCTGGTATGCATATAGAGCCAGATGTACATTCATATGCTAACACACGTATGCATATAAAGCCAGATATACACTCATGTGTAACACACGTATGCATATATAAAATGACAGTAAGAAGACTAATATGGTAGGATAGTAAAAGAGAAGAAAAAGCAGCCTAAAATGTCCTATGTGCTACACTCACTGATGTAAAACTGCCGCACTCACACCACTTGTCGGTTACCATCGACCTAAACTGTTGCAATGCCTCTTAGCCCAAGGTGGTCCTGCACCATCCCACCCTGCAAAATGGGGAACGGACGAGGAACTGTGTATGTGTATGTGTATGTGTATGTGTATGTGTATGTGTATGTGTATGTGTATGTGTGTGTATGTGAGTATATGTGAATATATGCTTGTGTATGTGCATCATTTGGCCTTGCTTGTCAGCACATAAGCTCACATATAGGCAAATAGACAGACAGACAGCCGGAAGCACACATACACACATACATACACGAATATATAAGAGCCAAAGGAGGAAGCATAACAACCTGCCTGTACAGTTTAGTTGCACATACCGATGATAAATAGATACAAGTAGAAAATACATTAAATTGAACATTCATACACAACAGACAGACAGACACCGACCAAACATACAGAATAGAGTCAACCGACAATGTTTGGCCTAGTTCGAATCGTATTGATTGAGGCCACAGATCAATCGGACCAATCTGTGCTTCATTTCTGCACACACCGGTCAATTGTGCCCCTCCTGTGTATGTATATGTGTGCACGTATGTATATGTGTGTTTGCGTGCGTGTGTGTGTGTATGTGTGCATGTGTGTGTGCGTGCGTAAGAATGTAGCTCGTAAGCCTCCCGCGGCACCAAAATACTTCTCTCCTCTTTGGCAATGAGCAAACATTTAAGAAGGATAGATTAATTTGCCCTCTAAAGCTCTCATTCATCCCTCCTCTGTCCACCTCTTTCCCTCCTATTCGTTTGATGCTTTCATCTTGTCATGTGTGTCTATTGTCTTCCATTTGGTGCAATTTGCAATTTTGGTCAGCCAAATACCTGCCTGACAATAACCATAACGGGATATAATATTTCGATCTCAGATCATCTCATAGGTGGTCAGTATAAGTTTTCCATCAGAAGCAGGATAAATTATTCAGAATTTCTCAAATAAATTATCCTTTCCTGTTCCACTGATCAAATCTCATTTTATTGTTCGAGCAATGTATCTACGGAATATTGTTACCAATGGAAAATGAAAGCAAGTGTGATCTGAATAAGTTCTGAATGACCAATAACTTCTAGACATGTCTTAGTGCTCTATAATCCGTCCTTGATCTTCATCTTCCTAGGCACATTTCAGTCCAGTATAATTAGTTTTTAAGGCTTGTTAGTCGTTATTTCATTTCACAATAGCTGTGTAATTTTAACCTAAGATTAATTGCAACTTTTTGCAATGAAGCAATGCTCTCCATTAGGCTGAAATTTTGGTTGAAAACATTTCCAAATAAATCTATCGTATCAGTTTATTGTTATTTATTGTGCTAAAATCTGATATAGTAACACTTTATACAGCATAATCGAATAATTTGTCAATATCTCCAATAATTCTTTGGAAATGAGTTTTCTTTGTTTTGTTTTTTAAAATGATATTTCAAGTGAAAATGAAGAAATAAAGAAAAAAGAGGACTGTAAATAAATTGGCAGCAACATCTGTAGTCTATTATTATTGGGCCTATTATTGCATTTCATTCATTAAGCGATGGTGGAAAAAATATAAATAATTTCAATACATCTATTCATTCAAACAAAACACTAAAGTTTTATTACAAACATCAATACTTTAAAATATACACATATGTAAAGAATTTTGATACATTTAAATGATCGAACAAAAGTTTGATTTCTTATAAAATATTTTAAGGCAGGAAAAAGCAGGAAGAAACTGCCTGAGAATGTAATCGAACAAAATGGATGAATAAAAAATTTTCTTGTAAAAACTTGCCAATTGACATAAGTATATAAGAAAAAGAATAAAATATTTTTTCGATAAGTTCGAATTTAAAAATTTCTCTTTAAGATATTTAAGACAGTAGAAGAAAGACAGGCAGGGGACAGGCGGGGAATACTAGAGAAAATCCTGGAAAAAATCAATAGAGTGAAATGGAAAATTTGAAATTACTTGCTTGTTTTTGATTGTAATTTTTCTTATGTTTATTTTATTGTTTGCCTATTTAACTTAAGGGAAGAAAATACATCAAATAACTTTCCTGAAAAAACAATAACAAACAAACAGATCAGAAATAGAAATTGAATTCAAATTTAAAATTAATATCTTTTATTACTGGAATGATTAGATAGTTAAAGATCAAAAATAAATAGAATCACCCTAATATTAATTTATTTTTATGTTGAAATTGAAGTCTTAGCTCATTTTGAGCAATGATAAGCTCATTAAATTACATTATCATAATTTTAGTAAATGATTTTGAGAGTAGAAAAATTTTATGATCCTGAAGACTAATTTTGATTTCTTATAAACAATTCTTAATACTTGAAACGAAATGATTTCATGCGATCAGCTTATGAATATGGGTTATAAATTATCATAGTTGGATAAATGACAATCAATTCTGGTTGAAAGTGACAAATTCCGATTGGGAAAATGGTAGTTTCCGGTTGTAGCCTTATGTTGATTTTATATTCATTAGCTCATTATACCTTTTTTTTGCTTATTTTCACTTCTTCCTACATTTTCTTTTACTCAAACTAAAGTCGCTATTGCTAATTGCACCAACTGCTACTGTTACTATATAACTACCACAGCTAAAACCACAACAACAACTATTCCACTGATGATTACCGTTTCTGTCACAGCTGTGATGTATTCTGTGGAAAATATTTTCTTGTTTTCTTTCCAGAATGATGCCTGGAAATTTTTAACAAAAACCGGTTACACTAGGCGTTAATCGCGGCATTCTTACTACTACCACTGCTGCTACTACTTCTACTACTATAACCATTATCACTAATAATACTAATACTGCTACTATTAGCTGCTGCTAATATTAATATTGTACGGTTTATAAATATTTCACATTATTATTTATATCCGTATTTCCGTATTACAACACACAAACATACTAAAAGACGCAGACATCCTTTTTCTGATGAATTTTAATTTAATTAACAAAATCTCTATTTACTAATTTTATCGTTTTATGTAGTATTATTGTCATATGTATGTAGTAACGAATCAATTTCTTTCTTAATATCGCATGAAAATAAAGAAGAATTAGTCATACATAACTTATTTGTTCTAACGGTATTACTTATAAGGCTAAGATCAAACTTTTAATAATTCTTCGAAGTAAAATCAAAATTTACAAAATGAATTTATGTTATATACAGTAATAAATGAATGTACGATAAACATTCATTTCATTAACATTCATATCAGAATCAAACAATTTTATTAAAAATTTTCCAATCAGATACATGAATGAAAAAAAAGAAGAAATAAAAGATTGAGAAGAATAATTGAAACGATAATTACTAGCAAAAATATTATCATTATTGGATGTAAAAAAAGAACTGAAACAATAATCAAATTATTTGTTATAGATTTAATTCGATATATTTTGTGATGATCGCATGCTATTTGGTGACGTTAATTGTTGTTCGTTTAGAAATAAACATATATTCACCGTTTTACGTAGAATTATAAATTTTGAGTAGAATTTTTCACTAATCTAAATTATGATAATTGCAACTTAATTGCGATAATCGCTTGCTATTTGGTGGCGCTAATTGTTTGTTGTTTGTTTAGGAATAACAAAATAGGCGATGGTAAGTTATAAGATAAC